AATGAGGATCTTAATTAGGATGACAGAATTCAACTTGAACAGACAAATGCATTATAAATAATTAATAAACAGAAGATTGCAAAATGCTTAAGTAAAAATTATTATTATTATTTTTTTTACAGAAGAGCCAAATTAATTACCATTTTTAACAGGTTAATTAACATTTTTGTGTTCAAGAGCAACACAACGTGATAAACTAGGATTTTGCCACACAACCTGACTTAAGTTAGTAGCGTCACTGCTTTTAGTTTAACTTTAGTGAGCGGCGAAATCTCTTTGCATTATTAAAATATGCTGAACTTCATGCAATGGCATGAATGGATATTAAAGCCTTGAGGTTCCCATCCACTCCAGAATAATCCCAGCCCTAAACGAGCGCTAATCCCCCTCTCCAGAGCCCTTTCACCTCGCTCCCTCACTTCTGCGCTCTTTATCCTCGACTGAGGCCTTGTGTCGCTCGATCGGAACGGTCAACAAGGCCTGCTCTTCATGGCGGGTCATTGTCCACGTGAATGGACAGATCTGGGTGGTGACCGTCGCTGGGTTAAGAGTGCAAACAGTCTCACACACATCAAAGCTCAGCAAACATCTCCGTCTAAAGCACATCCTTCTGGCTTTCAAAAGAGCAACAGTCGCAGACTTTGATCACGCTATCGGAGCGTCTGTCCCGCCACGACACCCAACGAAACCACCCAAAAATACAGCAACAAACTCCACAAGACCCAAGACATCTCTGACAAAGTGATGGGATCTGCTACAAGATTCATGTGCAGTTCATAAATTACATGAATTTTAGGATTTAGGGTTAAATGTGCACATAAAATGGGCTCTAAAATCACTAGAAACAAACTAAGTTTTAGATTAACCCTCATCATGCATTCATAATCTGTAGGCTATTTTCGCATTCTGGGTCAGTCTGGACCCAAAGAGTCATTTTTATTATTATTATTAAGTCTTAACTTAATATTTTTCAACTAAAACCATGTTGTATCTGATCAGCACCTTCTCAAAAATGTGAAAAAAATCTGCGGTTATTATATATATATATATATATATATATATACATACATTATATATGTTATTATTGCACTTCCCCCTTTTAAAATTAAAAAATGAGAAAATATTTGACATTATAAATTACACATGAATCTCACCAAAAAACAAACGATGCAAAATACTTTTTTTTTTTCAATATTGATGGGAAATGTTATTTAAATAGATCATTGTATGACATTTATATGAACATATAATCTGAGAATAAATCCGATTGGAGTGAATGGAAATTATTTAAATTCATTTGAATTTATAACTCACAATTGCTCAAATTGATGTCCAAAATTTACGAAAACTAAGTGCAAATTTATGAAAACTTTATTTCTAACAAAAAAAGCATAAATATTACTCCGAAAAGTTTTTAAACTAAAATAAATTTTATAAATTTCAGATGAAAAAAGCGATACATTTTTTTCACATTGCAATGGTCCGTCAATAGCGGACCATATTCATGTTCATCAAAAAATTTCAGTCCAAAGAGTCTGTGAGATATGAAGAAAAGGCTAAATTTATTTTACAAAAGTTTTGTGACATTAATGTAACTTCATAGATAATTTGATAAAAGTGTTGTTGGCACTAATGGTGCTCCATACTCGGGTCCAAAATGACCCGAAAATGAAACACTGGTTTGCAGTTCACTTAAATAGTACTGCTGTTTGACGAATTAATAATAAAAAAGTTTAATTATATCAGATAATTTGCCTTCACAGTCCTGAGAGAAAACAGAACCTTTACTAGCAGCTCACAACTAAACCACAACCAGAACTAACCCAGATCTCAACTGTAGTTTGACTATGAGTGTAAAGCCAGAGTCAAAAAGATGGTCAACAATACACTAAACACAATGGAATTCAGTCATAAAAATGGAATTTAATGTATAAGGCAGAATGTCACAGAATTTGGGAAATTTCGGATGAATGAATCAAATAAATGTTTGGTTTAACTTGAAGAAATTGTGATAGATATATTACTAACTGTACAGAAGAATGCATTTCTCAAAGCAATGATAACAATAAACAAAAATTATAAAAACTTTTTTTTAGGGAATATCGCACAATTTTTCTTCGACATTTTAATTTTAACAAAATAAACAAATGTGCATTGAATCATAAATAAATTATTATTATTTAATCAAACCATTAAAATGAAATCCAGAAATATTAAAATGAGAAGAAAAATGGAATTTGGAGGAAAAAAATGAATTTCATACGGCCCTAAAAAAAAATTTCTTCAAGTTTCATGATTTCAGTTAATTAGACATGCTTTTTGATTACTAACATTTAATGATCCATTAAAAAGAAATCCGGAAAAAAATGGAAAAAACTTAATTAAAACAGAATAAAACAGAATTTAGAGAAAGTGAATGAATAAAATAGATCTCATATGGCCCCAAAAATGTCATGTTTGTTCAACTTTGAATAAAACTGATGTTAAACTGTGTACGTTTCATTATTTCAATTAATCGGACATGGGTTTTGATTACTAAAATTTAATTTATCCATTAAAATGGAATTTGGTAAAAAAATAAAACAGATTTCATAGGGCGCAGCACATTTGATCTTGCCTTCTGAGACTTAAAACCTACATTCAGAACCAGACCAAACAACTAAACCACATCTTTACCGACATCTACACGTACTGAGATGTGCTCATCGATCCATCAAATACACAGACTGAGAGATGAAGGTCGTTTACGCATCACAGTCAGCGCTGAAATATGAGCCGTGTGGGCGGAGCCTCGCTCCCCCTGCAGCTCTGATTGGCCACCAGGGGATTTGAATGACAGGAAGACACAGGACTGTGAGTTATGCCACTCATAACAGAGAGAGAGACACACACACACACAGAGAGAAAGTGAGGCGTCTGTGATAAATGATAATATTTTCAATAGAGACACTGATAGAAACACCATTAATCAATTTCCAGTGAGTGAGAGAGTGACGGTTTCAACAGTTTAGGCGTCTGTTTTTATCAAAATCACTTGAAAAGAGACGTGATGTATTATTACACACACGCACACACACACACTACTCACACTATCACTGCAGTGAATCTTCTGGATTCATGGATATCTGGATGAACTACTGCATTAACACTTGATGCAGAGATTTTAATATTGCCTTCTTTTTGAGTAATTATTGGATCAGACTGACAAATGTTTTAAAAATGTAATTGAAAAGAAACATAACCATATTTATTTAAGGCAATAACTGGATGCCACTCACTGAATTAAACAAGCAATGAAGCCTTTTTTTTTGCATTGTGACATTACTTTCAAGACTTATAAAAAAAAAACGAAGCAAAATATATATACACACATATATATACAGTATATACACATATATATATATATATATATATATACACATACATACACAGATTATTAATATATTATAGAATATATTATTTATATTATAAAATATTTATACATTGTAGCAATGTTTGTTATACTGTTTATGCTGATTAAAAAAATATTATGGTACTTCTACTGTATATTAATGAGAATAATTCAGAATTCCAATCATAAAAAACAAATTCCTTAATATCTGTACATTTTATAGAATTATCTGCTTTATTATAAAAAAATAATTTTAAAATGCAAAAAAAAAAAGGGATTGTTCACTCAAAAATGATCACTCTGCCATCATTTACTTCTCTCATATCACTCCTCTTATGTATGAGTTTCTTTATTTTGATATTTTGAAGAACATTAAGGGCCAAACAACATTAGACCCCATTGACATTTTGTGAAGAAAATAAATCATACAGATTTGGGACGACATGAACTTCATATTCAGTTTTAGTTTTGACTTGGTTCTTCTCTTCTCTACGCAGCTAGTTTTTAGTTAAACTGTAAGTAACCAGTACTCTCCTCTATGTTCGGGGTGTGTGTGTGTGTGTGAGTGAGTGTGAGTGTGTGTGTGTGTGTGTGTGTGTGTTAATGAGAATAATTCAGAATTCCAATCATAAAAAACAAATTCCTTAATATCTGTACATTTTATAGAATTATCTGCTTTATTATAAAAAAATAATTTTAAAATGCAAAAAAAAAAAGGGATTGTTCACTCAAAAATGATCACTCTGCCATCATTTACTTCTCTCATATCACTCCTCTTATGTATGAGTTTCTTTATTTTGATATTTTGAAGAACATTAAGGGCCAAACAACATTAGACCCCATTGACATTTTGTGAAGAAAATAAATCATACAGATTTGGGACGACATGAACTTCATATTCAGTTTTAGTTTTGACTTGGTTCTTCTCTTCTCTACGCAGCTAGTTTTTAGTTAAACTGTAAGTAACCAGTACTCTCCTCTATGTTCGGGGTGTGTGTGTGTGTGTGAGTGAGTGTGAGTGTGTGTGTGTGTGTGTGTGTGTGTGTGTGTGTGTGTGTGTGT